TGGCCTGGTGTCTTGGGTTAGCTGGAACCAGTCTTGGCATTTAAAAAACTTAGGACTCCAGGACATGCTGACTCCTGGCATTCGAAGCCTGTGCCATATCGATGGCTCTTGTTTGTGAGAGAATTTCACGGCTTTCCAAGTCTTGAAGCAAAGGACAGAAATATTTGTTGAAGGGGGAGATGAGAAGAAGGAATAAATCGACGAAAAGAATAGGAAGAAGGGGGGATAGCGAGAATGTGTGGGTTTGGGGTTGGGGGTGGAGTATATGATTCTAGCAAGAGGGCTTAGTTCTCTGAGCCAGAGTGCAGTAAGGGGCTGCTTCCATCTGAGGGAGCAGAACAAATGAGCGCCAGAAAACATGTTGCCATGGTGTCTGAGTAATGTCCATGGGTAAGTCAGCCACTGCCAGGCACCAGCTGAATTAAATGGTTGGTGAGAGGGCAGGTAGTGGCTGGTGGTATATCACAGGTCCCTCAAGTAAGACAAGTGACTGGATGGCCTCCATGGGCTTAGGAGCCATTTTTGACTTTCACTGCAGCTGTGTCCTGTCTTTATAAGACAGAACAGCATGGTGTGTGGGGAAGGGGAAGCGAAGAGTGAGGCTCCTGATCCCAAGTGTGTTGTCCTGGGTTTCATCATGAGCACTTCTTCATGTTAGCCAGGAGCCTTTTCAAATATCACAACCTTTAAAAGGGCAAACAGGAGAAAATAGATTTAAACACACGCTCAACAACTACTTACTGAGTAGTTGCTATATGCCGGGTGTTAGTAGGGACTGGGAATAAATACAGTGCTGTCCAACACCAAGTGTCTGCCCTTGTGGAGGTTACATTTCTGGGAGACAAATACAAAAGTCAGATAGGAACAATGTGCTATGAAGAGAAGCAAAGCAGGGTACGAGGCAAGGAGGTAAAAAGAGGTACCCTATTTTTTAAAATTTAAATTCAACTAACATATAATGTATTATTGGTTTCTGAGGTAGAGATCAGTGATTCATCAGTCTTATATAACACCCAGTTCTCATTACATCACGTGCCCTCCTTAATGCCCATCACCCAGTTCCCCCATCCCCCTACCCTTCTCCCCTACAGCAACCCTCAGTTTGTTTCCTGTGATCAAAGAGTCTCATATAAGAGGTACCCTTTTTTTTTTTTTAAGATTTTATTTATTTATTTGACAGAGCACAGCGAGAGAAGAAACACCAGCAGGGGGAGTGGGAGAGGGAGAAGCAGGCTTCCCACCGAGCAGGGAGCCCGATGCGGGGCTCGATCCCAGGACCCTGGGATCATGACCTGAATCGAAGGCAGACGCTTAACGACTGAGCCACCCAGGCGCCCCAAGAGGTACCCTTTTACCACACCCTGCACATACATGCTGTTTGCACAGGCTGTCCGCAGCTCACCAAGTTTGTGAATCACGACGATTTTCTGCCTGATGGCATAATACATATTGATGTAGTGGCTTTTAAATGTTTCAGTTTATATAAATTTTATTTGAATTTAACACTGCACTGATTGGGCTGGTAATGAGGCTGGTGCTTTCTGAGGAAGTGACACTGAGCTGAGGCCCAAAGGATGAAAAGGAACTACCCCTTTTCACCAGTCTTTATTAGACACGATCACAAGATCACCCTTCTTCTAAAAGAGAAAACTAGAGTGTAGTTTGTAGAGCAACACCGACCGTCACATGATGACATCTCTAGAGATTTCTGCTTTTACCTGCTGACGGCAGGAGGTCAGGGGCAGCAGGAGGGAAGCTGCGGGATGGGAACCTATTGCGGCCCGGGCTAGGATTTTCTGTCCAGAGTCTGATGCCTGCACCCGAGCAGCAGGACATGGACAGAGAAATGGACCCAACTGTACTGCTAGGGGCTCATTTATCCAAACGTCGAAGTGACCACAGTTACTGCCAGACAATCCCCTCTGCTTCCTGAGATTCCTTCTCAGGCTTCAAGAGGACTGATTCACAGTCTCTTCTCAGATTGTCAGCACTCTCCTTTCCCGAACTCCAGGACTCCAATGACCTTGCCGATTTATACTTTCTTCTCCCTGCCCCCACCTCCACCAGCCTTTCTGCAGCTGAATCTGTAACGCTGACCTCAACTGGATTATTCCCAACAGCATACAAACGTGGCTCCAGTATCTTCAATCCTGAAAACAAACTCTGTTGACCTCACAGCCCCCGTAAGCATCTGTGCCTTCTCTTCTTGGCAAAACTTGGAAGAACTGTTATCCTTTGTCCATCTCCTCTTGCATTTTCTTCTCAGCCCATTGCTCCACTTAAATAATCAACTTTATCAAGGTTATTTTTACACTGCCAAGCAGAGTAGACTTTTTTTTTTTTTTTTTTTAAGTAGGCTTTACACCCACTGTGGGTTGAATTCCTGACCTAAGAGCCACATGCTTGGGGCACCTGGATGGTTAAGCATCCAACTCCTGGTTCCGGCTCAGGTCGTGTATTAAATTATAGTTTTGGGGCATCTGGGTGGCTCAGTTGGTTAAGCATCTGCCTTCAGCTCAGGTCGTGATCTCAGGGTCCTGGGATCAAGCCCCAGTCGGGCTCCATGCACAGTGGGGAGTCTGCTTCTCCCTCTCCCTCTGCCTGTCCTCACTGCCCCTCCCCCTTGATCGTTCTCTCTCTCTCTCTGAAATAAAATCTTTTTTAAAAAAATTCCAGTTTTTAGGGGTGCTTAGCTGGCTCAGTTGATAGAGTATATGGCTCTCTTTTTTTTTTTTTCCTTAAAGATTTTATTTATTTATTTGAGACAGAGAGAATGAGAGAGAGAGAGCACATGAGAGGGGGGAGGGTCAGAGGGAGAAGCAGACTCCCCGCCGAGCAGGGAGCCCGATGCGGGACTCGATCCCGGGACTCCAGGATCATGACCTGAGCCGAAGGCAGTCGCTTAACCAACTGAGCCACCCAGGCGCCCTTTTTTTTTTGTTTTTTTAAGATTTATTTATTTTTGAGAAAGAGACAGAAAGTGGGGTGGGAGGGGTGGGGACAGAGGGAGAAAGAGTATCCTAAGCAGGCTCCACGCTGAGCACGGAGCCTGATGCTGGGCTCCATCTCACAACCCTGAGATCACGACCTGAGCCGGAACCAGGAGTTGGATGCTTAACCATCTAGGTGCCCCAAGCATGTGGCTCTTAGGTCAAGAATTCAACCCACAGTGATTGTAAAGCCTACTTAAAAAAAAAAAAAAATTCCAGTTTTTAGCATTGGAGGCAATTGACCAAAACAACTTCCTGGAAATAATTTCTTTCCTTGTCTACCATGACACTTGCTGCACTTGTTTTCCTCCTTTTTGACTGCCCAAGTCTTTTGCTAAATGTTAGTGTCACACAATGCTTAGGTCTCTGTCTCTCTTCTACCTAGGTGATCTCATTTCGTCCCATCTATATGCCGAGGAGTTGCAAGCGTATATTCTTAGCCCCTGTTCTCCCTTGAGCTCCGGAGTTGTATCTCTGACTGCCTTCTTGTCATGACCCCAAAGTTTAACATGCAGCTCACGCTGAATTCCTGATCTCCCACCCAAACTCCTGGGGTTCCCTATCTCGGTAAATGGTACCACCATTCACGCAGTTATCCTCCACGTGTAATGCATTAGCTATACCTCCACATGCGTCTTTCTCCTCATCTCCACTGCCACTGCGCTGGGTGAAGCCTCCTGAAAGATCTTACTACTCCCCTTCTCCACACAGTCACAGAATGATCTTTCTCAACTGTCGATCCCATCAGGCCACTTGCTGCTTACCCTCCATCCCCTGAGGTTGCTAAATGCAAACAGAAAAAAATCCAACTTTATGTCTTCCCTGCCAAGCTTCATGCTTTGGTCCTTGCCTGCTCCTTTGCCTTCATTGCATTTCACTCTCCCCCCCATTAAGCTCTGACGATGCTGGCCTTGCTGTTGCTGGAACATACCAAGGTCATTCTTTTTTTTTTTTTTTCCTGTTTTTTTTTTTATTCTTATGTTAATCCCCATACATTACATCATTAGTT